TTTGAAAATGTATTATATAACATTTGCAGTATTTAAGATGTGTTGGCCTGTCGCTAAACTAGATGGAGTAATAAACCGACAAAATTAATTCCAGGCTGGAGGTTAATTATTGACGTTAACTAGCTTAATGAATGAAGTCCTCCAATTAAGAGCGTTTAAATATGGCTGCCATCAGTGCAGCTGATTGAGAGTATCTGTGGAGCAGTGAAGAGCTGTAGAGTTTGGTGAAGTTCTGCAGGGTTTCTGAAAGAGGCACTTGGTTTGGTTCTAGTCTTGGATGATCGTTCTTCATGTGGTCTCAGACTACATCTGGTGACACTCTGGCGGTGGAGATCAGCTCCTATGTGCTGCTGGCGGTTCTCTCTGTACAGCCTCTCACGACTGCTAATCTAGGCTATGCTAACCGCATTGTCAACTGGCTTGTGACCCAGCAGAATCCTTATGGAGGCTTTTCTTCCACCCAGGTGACTGACTACCAAACATGAGCACACATCATATCTGAGTGGAGGTTTTAATCTGGTGCTTATTTTTAGGACACTGTGGTGGCTCTTCATGCTTTGTCTCTGCTCGCCGCTGAAGTGTTCAGCCTGGAGGGCTCCAGCACGGTTACCGTACAGTCGTCGACTGTATCTGGAGAGGTTTATAACTTCGATGTGAATCGAAACAACAGGTGTCTGTATCAGGAGAAGCCGCTGAAGAACGTTCCTGGCAGATATAGTGTTCGAGGGAAGGGCTCCACCTGTGTGTCTGTGCAGGTCTGAACCTTCACCTGCTTAACTTCTACCTCTATGCTTGTCGTAGTTCCTTGTCATGTCTGGTTTTGTACTCCCAGGTTGCATGTTTGTACAACATCCCGACACCCATTAAAGCTTCCAGAACACTTGGCGTTGAAGTGAAGGTGGCAAGAGACTGCAAAGTGCGTGGCGCGGATCTCGTGTTGAACATCACTGTGAAGTAAGAACCGCTTCGACTTTGACCTGTTTGACCCTTAAAGCATCTTTACACAGCTGAGCTAAGGCTGCTCTGTGCCTGCTCAATTCTGTGACCATTTCACATAAAATCCAGTCCAAATCATGTAGTTCTGACCCACCTTAGCCCCTAATATCAAAGAATACAGTTGGAGTTTCTGCATAAATGCCATTATGCCACCTCTGAGCAGCATTAAGCCATTTTAGTAGATGCAGCTAATTGTTAATTCAGAAGTGCTTGGCTTGTGTTCTTTAATTTTTTTTTT